TGTACACTGTAGTACACACACTACAATGTGGCATGCAACTTTATTAAGGACAAAGTTGTTAAAAAGTTTATTTCATGGTAAGAATCTCGCGAATCTCGTGTTCTATTCGAGAGTTCTTGTCAGCAACTGGACCTTGTACAACAATTGATCAGTTGACCGATCATCCCACAACATGTAGCAGGGGCTAATATGATTCCAAGAAATGGAAAGACTGTTCTAAATAACCCAAACACAGGCCAATGTTTTGACCATGCATTTCCGTATAACGGTGACACTTTACGACGGTTTGAACAATTGAGAAAGTGCAAGGGTTACATAAGGTTTAGAAATGAACGTAATAACGGTTTGCAAACAAAATGTATTTTGTATTATGATGAAGTCCTTTAAAAGACGCTGGTGCCACACTCCACCTTAACTGTAAGAAATTGGAAGAGTGTCAGGAAATTCAGGCCACTGAGAAAACTGAAGGATTAAGAGATTTTATGGCGGTTTGAACATTTAGAATAAAAATATTAAATATATAATAAATAAATAAATAAACAAATAAATGAACAAACAAATAAATAAATAAATAGGAATTTGCAGAGGCACATCCCACGGAGAGGCTCTTCGTCCACTGTTTCCAAATCGAACTGGAATTTAGAAATTTCTAAGGATTTCTATGCGAAAAAACAAAAACAAACATTGGATTGCGAGTGGATGACAAGGCTTACTTCTCCCGCACAAATTCTAATGGTGAGAAATTTTACTCTTAGAGGGTTTTTTGTTAAGAACTCACCTAACCTTCTCCCTCTTTCAGTGTTGAGACAGGTATATATGTTACGAGCTGTAACATTACAGAGAGAACCCTCGTTAGCTCTTTTGTTTTTCGACGAGGCCATTTAGAACACAAGACAAAGAGCTGACTCTTTCTATTCCTGACAAAAAATCTCCCTCAAAGTGGAATCTTTCAATGCAAAAAACTTCTTTCTGGATCTTGAACACAAACACTTTAAGCTGATTAAATGGTGAGTTCGTAATATACTCGTAGATGATGAAGAATGCAAGTGAATATATGAAAGATCATATATTTGAACTGCGCTGCGGAGAAAGATATAAAGACAAGACTGATCATCGCAGTTATATACACAACTTAAGCAGTTGTGAAATTAATGTAATTTCACAACTGTACAACTCTCTTCACAACTTTTAAGCAGTTGTGAAATTAATTCAGTAGTTGTACATATGAAATCATAGATCTGCAACAGGTTACTAGAACATGTTCTGCGATTGGAGTTTACAAAGCTTGGAAAATAAAGCCTGTTGTTGTTGACAAAATCACATCAACTTTGTAGCCACTTTACAGAAAAAAACTATAGTCAGTACCATAGTCCGGTCTACAAGTTTGCTAAATTTGGACCCACACTGTGTGTAACGTCAGATAATGCATAATGCAAAATGTAAATAGAAAAATGTTCAATTTGCATTTTGGCAGTTACCAACGTTTTCAAAGGCGATTTACTGCTTTCAGTCCAGCACTAAATACAAAATTAATGCAATAAGCTACACTTACAATGTACATATGTGATCAGTGATTAAAAAATTAGGGACTATCTGATTGATGTAAGAAGATGTAAGAATAGGAACAGTGGTCTGTTCAGGAAAATGACCAGTGGTACTGGTAATCTTGCTTCCACCTACATGTAAACTTGACAGGACTTTTATAGAAAGGGGCACG